GCCCGCGCCGGGCTTCGCCCCCGCGCCCCGCGCTCGGAGGGCGGCGCTCTGCGGGGTGGAGGGCTGCGCTGTGCTCTCCTCGCGCCTGTCGAAGGCTTTCCTTCCTCCTCGCTGTCTCGCCCTCTCGCTTTTCTGCAGGGCAGAAGGCAGCGGCGAGAAGAGCTGCCGGCCGGAGTTTTAGCACCAAGAAGCAGAGGTGTGGAGCGGCCCAGGGAGAGAAGCCGAGTGTTTGCCAGGGAACGCTGCTATTGGGGATGAATTTATAGCGCTCTCACTGCGTGACGTGCCCTCCAGTGGCTTTTCTGATTCGCTTTCTGACCTAAACACACATTAGTTTAGTCCCCATAGCTAAGGCCAACACGGTCTCCAAATATCTGCTGGCTGAAGTCACAGGCTTTGCATATCATGTATTACATGGCAGGCAATGAAGAAGGCTTCTGAGGCTGGCCGGCTCCTCCGTCCTAGGCTCCATTTTCATGCTGTTGTAATATAATACCAGACCTGGGGTAGGCACATACATTCAAAATCCCAATTCCAGAGGCGCAAGATCACTTTATCAGGAACAGGTCAGGGGAGGTTGGGCTAAACCTGCTTTTATCCAGATTTTCAAAAATGCACATGAGAAACCTAAGCGTGCACCCCCTTGGGTGCTGAGTTTCCAGCAAGCAGGGCCCCAGCCCCCATTCCAGAGCTCTGTGAATGGGAGAGGTGAGACCTTCTCAGCATTCCTTTTGTTGGTTAGCTCACCACCAGAAGCCGCCGAGCCTTCTTTTGTAGAGGACACGAGGAGGGCAAGTCCTTACACACCCTGTACATGGCTATAACTGTAAATATGTTGCGTTCACATGGGGCATGAAATTAGCCCTACCTTTAAAATAATGTACTAAGTAGGGCATGTCTTTGCTAAGCAGAAACCTGCTTTCCGGAAACCATTGGACCTGGATTCAGTGGGACCTCTTTTATTTTATTAGCTGGGGCCAGGGAAAGTGTAAACAGGCTCAGTTTACATCCATGTACCTCTTATTTTATGACTCATCCGGTTGTTGGGGAGTATGTGCTCTTCAAGTAGCTGATACAGACAATAGACAGGGGAAATGCGTGTGGCAAGGTGGTGGGGAGGATCATGTATCATTAAACTTCTTAAAAGTCAAAGATCAGCTACTTTAGAGGTTTGTCAGTGAAGTTAGTGTGGGAGGAAAATTGTTCTTACTAACATTGCTGTGATTTAAGATGAAGTGAAGTGAAAATCAAGTCATCCAAACATACCTTAGCTGAAATTAGGATGCTCGCTGCAGTTCTTCAGAATGTGACATCATTTCCTTCTTTGATAGATTTATGGGAGAAAAGTAGAGGATTTGGAAATCGGAGGGCAAGATTAAGCTTGATGCTTTTATCCCAGTTTAGAATTGTTTTTGGAGCTTGAAGATGACCCTCATCAGTGTTCTTACCGTAGATACTTTATTTTCAGAAGGTTTTTCACTGGAGATGATCAGGCCATTCCAGCACTTGCAAATTTTTTTTAGCAGTTGCTATGTGCCAGGCAAAGTGCTAGACCCTGGTCATTGTGCTGATTGGGCTTTTTTGGGGTTGCAAAGAACAGACACCACTGAATTTACCCTAAGTAATGGGAGTTTACTGTGGAAGGAAGGCTGACCGGAATCTCCACCACTCAGCCACGTGTCTCCAAAAAGCCTTCCGGAAAGGCCACCGAGCCAGGCCTCACGAAAACTGGATTGAAGTTCAGGAACTGGAAGGTCATTCAGGATACGGCTCTGTGACTGGGTTATCTCGCTGCCCCCTCAGCAGCAGGCATCTGCCGATCCCTACTAACAGGCTTAGCCGCCAAGGTGATTCAGCTCTTCTCTTGCTGTTTTTCTCCGGGTGTCCTTTGGCTTCTGCTCCTGCTACCAACTGCTCAGCTCTCTGTGGATCTCATATTTAAACTCCTTTAGTGAGAGGGTCTAATTGCCCTCCCTGGGCACTCACCAGATGCTAGAGTTGGACCGAGCTTTTGTATCAGGCTTCCTCATAGGTTGCTAGACACTTGTAGATGGGCAGATCCTGGGTCAGGTGCCTAATCCCGGGCCAGTCGTTTGTGTCTAGGTCATTGGCACCACAAAGCCTGACCACCTATGCTTAAGAAACTTCCTAGGGTTCCTCCTCACCTTCTTTCGAGTTGTGTTCCCTCAGGAGTTGGGTTAATGGCAGGCACTTGGAGTTTTGACAGCCCTCTCTGGTACCATCATAAGCTTACTGTTTAGAAGGAGAGGGAGACGTGCACACAAATAATCATGGCATAAAGTGATAAATACTCTAACAGAAGTATATTTGAAGTGCTTGTGTACTGGAGTCTGATTTTCACATGGTCAGTGAAACACTGGGGAGATTATAAAATATACCCAGGCCTACGTCCTATTCAGGGCAATTAAATCAGAATCTCTTGAGGGGTGGAGCCCAGGAGTTGATGTTTTTTCTCCTTGTTTATTAATTTATTTTTTTTTCAATAGTTGCAATGACTTCATGATTCTTTTTGAAAGTAAAACTAAGAAATCACATTTTGATAAGCTCTAGGACTACGACTTCCAAAACATTAAGTTCCCTTAAAAATACTACCAATTAGCTCAGAATAGTAATATAAAGGAAAATGCAAAAAATTAGAACTAAAGCAAATATTTCTAATTTTGAAAGGACGTTTATTTCTGTGATTACAATATGCAGATGAATGCAGAAAAATTTCCTTCTGAGGTGACTGCCTCCAATACAGATCAGCCAGGAAGCATTTGGCGTCTTGGGGCTAAGGGGATGGCTTGATATCACAATCTCAGCACCCAGAAAGTTGAAAGTTGGGAGCCCCACAGCTCCAAGACTCCATCTTCTCTGTTCTCAGGGAAACAAAGATATGTTTGATTAGAAGCTGTTCCTTTGCAAAGTCCAGAAGAGAACAATTTGCAGCACCGGGTCTCTTTTCAGTAGGCAGAGCACCCTCTGGTAGAGGAACAACAGCCTTCTGCTATGGATTCTCCCATTGCCTCAGATCTCAGCTTTTCATCTAGAAAATCCTGCCTGAGAATCAGAGAGAGCAAGTACAGTTCAAGCATCCCGTCTTTTCTGTGAGAAAAAAGGTCCCAAGTCATACTTATTTCCCATTTCACCATTATCATTGTCTTCATCGAGATTTTGTGTGGGTCTCTAACCCAAGGACGTCTAAATGATTCGTGCTGCCTGTGCTCAAGGATCTTACAGGCTTTGGGAAGAGAAAACACAAACATAAAATAAGAAAAACGAATACAGGGTCTCATGAGGCTGTGGAACCCCAAATAGTTTTGATTGGGGTAGGTAAGCGGAAAGGAGGAGGTGGTGAGGAGGCATTGCAGGCTAGTGGAAAGGGGTCGCTGGAGGAGACTCACTGCTAAGTGCTGCCATCTTCTTGCTCAGCCTCTGTGGCCCTGTAGGGCTGCAGCCTGCAGAAGCGGTGGGGCAGGTGGGTCAGCCTTTGGCCATTCAGAGTCCTTGGCGAGCTCCCAGTGGGGCTTTGCAGCTGCTTTGACCATAAGGGCCAGGACCCGGGTCCCTGGACTGCCTCATAACTTGGGTCATGACGACTGAAACAGAATCCATCACTTAAGCAGGGCAATTTCCTTTTCAAAGTCACTGCTTTATTGGACAGCAATTTGTTCCATGCTTGCTTGCTCTTTAACAGCCATTTTCACCAATGATACTATTACTCATGAAGAAAAGATAAATTTACTTTCAGGCCACTTAAAAAAAGTGAAAAGAAAAGAGAAGAAGAAAAATGCACTGTAATGGCATTTTTGCAATACAGTGGGAAGAGAAACTCTTTGGAGTAAATTGTTTCTCATAAGAAATCAGTCCTGATGCTGGC